CCCCCCCCCCCCCCCCTCCCTCCTTGCCAGCCTTTGCTTATTCGTCCCATGCTTGTACTGCACTCCTTTGTTCGGTTGGGGTTAGCACATTCCGTAAAAGCAGTTGGGCCGTGAGTGTTCAGCCTCAGTCACAATCTCTTCACGCGTTTGCCAACCCTTGCGCCGTAACGGTGTGTACCGCCCTTTGTTTTATTTTTTTGCTTTTTTCTTGGCGTTCCAGGTACGAGGAGCGCGAAGCACAACGTCTTGAGGACTTAGTGCAGACCTTCCAGGACCGCATGATAGATGTGAGTGAGGTTTGACTTGAAGGAAGGAAATGAGCCGGGAGTGCACACTCACCGTTCGCCGCAGCCCTTGGTTTTCTCCCGAACCCCCTGGATTTGTCCCGAACCAAACTAGCTATCCTTTAATTATACCACATCTTACTACCCCCAAATGGCACAAACGTGATGTACTCTAGTACTGCGCAACCCTTTCCTCGCTGCTGTTGGCCTCCCTTGTTAAGCATTTTCTGGAGAAGTGGACGTGTCTGCTAAGGAGAAGAAGGACCATCGGTTTTGATGCGAAGACAAACACGACAAGCCTTGATACCCTGAATCCAATCCGGAATTTGTCCGCCGCTTGCGCCCTGATCTATCCCCCAAGCCCAAACCCTCCCCCCTGGTTCGCTCTGAACTAACCCCGGAGCCCAAACCCTCGGCCATCGCGTGTTTGGTTGTGACCAGAGCCTGAGCGTAAGAGTGGAGCTCAAATCCGCACTTAATCGGTTCTCTATTGGTTCGCATTTTGGCTCGCTCTGAACTTAACTGGGAGCCCAAACCCTCCGCCTTCGCGTGTTTGGTTGTGACCAGAGCCAGAGCGTAAGAGTGGAGCTCAAACCCACCGCACTTAATCGGTTCTCTATTGGTTCGCATTTTGGTTCGCTCTGAACTTAACCAGGAGCCCGAACCCTCGGTCATCGCGTGTTTGGTTGTGACCAGAGCCAGAACGTAAGAGTGGAGCTCAAACCCACCGAACTTAATCGGTTCTTTATTGGTTCGCATTTTGGTTCGCTCTGAACTTAACCGAGAGCCCAAACCCTCCGCCTTCGCGTGTTTGGTTGTGACCAGAGCCAGAGCGTAAGAGTGGAGCCGCGAAATGATGTGGAGGTGGAGGCGCGAAGGCAGAAGCTGCTCCAGGCCTGCAACGGGTTTAGAGAGCACGACGATCACCTCAAGAAGTTCTTGAATCCCAGCCCGAATCCGCAAGTCCAGAGTGAGTTTCTTTTTTAGATGGCGTGCATTGAAACACAGGACGACTTTTTGCCCTTTGGAGGGATATAACCACAGCAGTCGAAGTTTTTGTTTTCCCTTGTGCTGCCGTACCGGCGGCAGCTTTGGCCCGGCCCCCAAGAAACCGCCGTTTCATTTTTTGGTGGGGAACTCCTTTGAAAGTTTTTTTTCCTGTGCTGCCAGCGCCTGAACGCCGGAAACGCCGATATGTTCGTGTTGCCAGAGAGTTTGCCGACAGGCTGATGGGCTTACGTGCACCACCTGTTGCGTCTGGATGGCATCATGACGGCCGTGATACCCGAGAGGTTTTGATCGGTTGTGCTGTTAAGCGTGCCTCTAGCTAACGGGAGAGGTCTGTTTTGTTGTGGCGTCCCCCTGCACCCCCTAGTTCTTTATAGCTTGAGGACGGGGCGGAGAGTTGGTGTGCACATGTACACCATTGAAAACGGGTGCTGTGCGGTCCGTCAGTTTTTGGGGTATGTTTTTTCTATTTTCTCAGCGTGATTGGTCGAGACCCTTTCATGGATAGAGTGTATCGTAATGTCGAAGAGCCCCGTATCTCTCTGTGCGGCCGTCTTCCGGCCTTGCAGTCAGTCCATTCGTTGCTCTCATTTCAATCAGCGCCTTGCCCAGGAAGAAGGTAGAACTCAGCAGCAGTCCTGTTGACAGGACGGTCTTATGTTGCCATTCCTCCTTAGGCTTCCCCGCAGCTTCGGTACATTGCCTAACCGACATCGCCACTGTTGTCGGATTTTTGCACGTTTCCGCCTACGTGAAGACGTAGATCAGGCGATCGACATGGTCAACTTTGTCCACGACCAGAACTTCGAGAACAACGTGAGTTTTTCGGCTTCTGCCGCAGCAAGCTAAGCCCGCCGGAAGCCGGGGCGAAGCGGTGACGGGTGGCTCGTGGCCGAGCGGTTGTGCAAGGCACAAGGGTTGGAAGTGCACAACACATAAAATTGTAGCAGTTGATATTGTGCCGCACCGGTTGGGGCCATGCTCCATGCCACGCGGTCACCTCAAGGCGTTTTTTTTTTCATGTTTTCGTCGTCATCGACTTCGCGTGTTGCAGGCACGCGAAATCTGGGGTGCGCACTGCTCCACAGTTAGCGTGGCCAACGCACCACGCGTGCCGCAGTGCGGTATATAGAGATGGGCTGCGCATCACTGACCTGTCAATGTCGTCTAACGCCGTCCGGGTTACAGTAGCTTGTGACGGAGCTTTTGCTGGCCGTCCGTCCCGCTTACTACCGCCACGAGCTTGGCGTTTATGGCAGCGGGATGTAATTCTCATTCTTCCTTTTTTCCCCTCTCTAGTGGCGCTACTCACAACTGTTTGACAGCATCGTTTTTGTTCCATCCGCTGTCTTTTTCTCCTCTTCCTACTCTTCTGTTCACAGGTGGTTGGCGCGTCGATAGACTTGTCAAGCAAACTCCAGACGTCAGCCCTAACGCAGACGCAATATCATGGCGGACACGGCTTGGTCACGTCCATGGGCAACATATAGGAACCACCCCCCACGTACCACGCCCGCTGGCGAGTCAGGTTCCAGCAAGGAAGTACAACGGGAAACGGGGTTGGGACTGCAGGGTCGAGGCGTGGGGCAAGGAGGGGGGCTGTGCATGGCAACTCTCTGGAGGGTAGCTGACTACCATGGTATGGTTCTGCATGCCGTTGACATCCTCGGCGCGTTCCATGGACGGTTTTGTGACGCTCGAGGCCGTGTGTCGCGACTCTCTGGAGGGTTGGCTGACTACCATGGTATGGTCTAGCATTCCGTGGACATTCTCGGCGCGTTCCGTGGGAGGCTTTGACGGTCAGCGGATGAGAATGGGGGTTTAGACGGCGTGTGTGGTATGTCGTTTGGACGAAG